CAAATACACAAATCTGAATGGCTGTTTAAATCATTTAAACAGATTCAGAAACAGAAAGTAGCGCAGCTGCATTGTTTACAGGGTTTCCGGGGTAACGGCTGCATTTAAATGAATTATTATTATTATTATTATTATTTCTGCAGTTTAGCGCCATCTGCTGTCAGAGAATGAAAGTGTGCTTTCATCCAGAGTGCCTCTCACATGCTCCGCCGTGCGCTTCTCATCCGCGCTTGTTTACATCAGAGTGCGCACGCGTCTTTCACGCAGCATACAGCGGTGTTGTGCATTTTGACCAGTTGATGGGAAAAGTATTCTTAAAATGCATTCAAAATTCTAAATAATTTGTAATATATAATTATTCACGGTATTTAGAAGTGCCCACGATAACAATATCGTGCATATATATCGCAGTACCGAATACCGGCACAAGTCTAGTTTTGATACATGTTATTGTGTATTATTTTGTTTTATTGTGTTTTTTGCTTTTTGATGCGTTTTATAATGCTTTGATGTGCTACCAAGTTTTATTATGTTTTGATACGTCTTATTGTGTATTATTGTGGTTTGATGTGGGTTTTGTGCTTTATTGTGTTTTGACGCATGTTATGTTTTATTGTGTTTTCATGCATATTATTGTGTATTTTTGTGTTTTGAAATGTATTACTGTGCATTTAATTTTTTGTGGTTTGACCATAGACTGTATAAAAACATGGACGTAGTGTCCGTGACGTCACCCGTAGGTTTCCGAAGAGCGTTTTTGAAGCTCAAAGTGGGCAGAGGCGGCCGTTGCCATCTTGGCAGATCATCACCGCGCTCATTTTGTTTAAAATGAGCAAAAAGGCGGGAGCTGGTTGCTGAAGCCACGCCCACCTAGCTCAACGGTGGTGACAGCAGCGGCAATCCACCGCTGCTAATTATGCAGAACTTTAAGGCTTAATATAATTTAAACGGATGAGTTAAAAAAAATAATAATTTAAAAATTCACCCCCCTCACAGTTGTCATGAAGGGCAAAATCAGCAATATAGACCAAAATAATTTTTTGAACCAGGCTGTAAAGTTAGGCATTTTAACATGGGGAGTCTATGGGATTGACTCCCTTTTGCAGCCAGTCTCTAGCGGCCAGTTAACGAATTACGGTTTAAGTCACTTCCTTGTTGGCTTCACGAGAGAGAGCGAGAGGTTGCCGCTTGGGTTTGACACATTATTGTGTATTATTGTTTTATTGTGTTTTTATGTGTTTTTATTTCGATGCATGTTATTGTGTATTATTCTGTTTTCACAGCTGGCCAATCAGAGCACACCTCGCTTTTCAGACCGATGAGCTTTTGTAAAAATCGACGCATTTCAGAAAGACGGGGCATAGAGGAGAAACAATAATGTACAGTATGTGGAAAATAATGTGTTTTTTGAACCTTAAACCGCATAAACACACTGCATTACACCAAATACACAAAATAATGTTCTTTTTAGCTGCATCATATGACCACTTTAATACTCTCCTCCCATAAATTTTGCGTCTGAAAGGGAAATTCCTACAAATGCATATTCAATAAGGTCAGGCGCAAAAATATGGTGACAGCAGCGGCAATCCACCGCTGCTAATTATGCAGAACTTTAAGGCTTAATATAATTTAAACGGATGAGTTAAAAAAAATAATAATTTAAAAATTCACCCCCCTCACAGTTGTCATGAAGGGCAAAATCAGCAATATAGACCAAAATAATTTTTTGAACCAGGCTGTAAAGTTAGGCATTTTAACATGGGGAGTCTATGGGATTGACTCCCTTTTGCAGCCAGTCTCTAGCGGCCAGTTAACGAATTACGGTTTAAGTCACTTCCTTGTTGGCTTCACGAGAGAGAGCGAGAGGTTGCCGCTTGGGTTTGACACATTATTGTGTATTATTGTTTTATTGTGTTTTTATGTGTTTTTATTTCGATGCATGTTATTGTGTATTATTCTGTTTTCACAGCTGGCCAATCAGAGCACACCTCGCTTTTCAGACCGATGAGCTTTTGTAAAAATCGACGCATTTCAGAAAGACGGGGCATAGAGGAGAAACAATAATGTACAGTATGTGGAAAATAATGTGTTTTTTGAACCTTAAACCGCATAAACACACTGCATTACACCAAATACACAAAATAATGTTCTTTTTAGCTGCATCATATGACCACTTTAATACTCTCCTCCCATAAATTTTGCGTCTGAAAGGGAAATTCCTACAAATGCATATTCAATAAGGTCAGGCGCAAAAATAACTGTGTCCATGCCTTTTCAGCGCTAATTCTTCACTGCGCGTCTTTAGTCAAATCTGACAGTGCTATTTTAACGCCAAAAGATGGTTTGCGCAGGCGCAAGCTGTTAGTAAAACTGGCCCATATAGTGTAATTACTGTAATTTGACATGTTATAGTGCATTATTGTGTTATATTGTGTTTTAACTCATATTATTGTCTATTGTTTTGTTTTGAAATGTGTTATTGTGTTTTGTATTTTTTTTGTTTTGACATTATTGCATATTGTTGTTTTGTGTTTTAATGTATTTTCGTGTTTAAATGCATGTTTTGTGTATTACTGTGTTTTCACTTGTGTTACTGTTTATTGTGTTTTATTGTTTTAATGCATATACCTGTGTATTGTTGTGTTCTGAAATGTGATTTTTTTTTGTGTTTTATTGAATTTTGATTCATATTATCATGTATTATTGAACTTTGACATATATTATTGTGTACTATTGTGTTTTACTGTGTTTTGGCATGTTATTGTTTTGATGTGTTTTTGTGTTTTGATGATTGTGTTATGTCTTGTTGTGTAAATGAGTCTCACCTGTTTCTCCAGTTTCTGCTGTCTGAGGTTCAGACTGTCGTCCTCCAGCGTACTGAAACACAACAAACAACATTAAAAACCCATTAACACACACTTATACCATCCCATGTTGAGACTAGAGAATGAATGCTGCAGTGTGAGTGTTTTAACCACCATCAGTCATCTGTCAGTCATTGCATTGCTAGGCAACCGATTGACACCCAAATGAAAGAAAATCAATTTCTCACGTACACACATGATACATGACTGTGTGTCTAAAACTACATACACACCCACATAAACACTCACACCGCAGAGACCGGAGAAACATTTCAGATCTGCGTTAAACAAATAAATATGAAGCTTGTTTTTTTTGTTTAAAGCATCACAGCATACAATAGTGAGTTTGTTGTACCTGGTCATGGCGGCAGACGCGAAGCTGGAAGAACTGGAGGCTCTTTGTTTCCATGGCGATGACAGACGGAGAGAGAGGGGAGAGAAACACATGAGAGGAAGAGTCAGTGATGAAGATGACGAGTGAACACACACCTGAATGAATGTTTCATGCTCACGGAGGTAAGGTGACACACAAGCTGTCTGATGTGACACCTGTGTCACCGTGGTTAACAAACACACACACTAACAGATGCTCTCCAGTAAGAAAGAAAGAAAGAACATTAAAAACACACCTATTTCTTACATGAATTGAGTAAAACGAAGTTCATAATCTACAACAGAGCACAGCACCCTTCCAAAACACCAAACATTCACAAACATTTCAGTACAGGACGCAGCTTTATAAAAACTAAAATCAATCAAGTCTTTACAATAGCATTAAAAATTGATACAAGTTTACATTCCTGATTCTGTTCAATTTTATTTCTCCTACTCGTGCATGTTGCCATTTTACTTTTAACCAACACAAAATTTAACAAAAGACACTGTCTCTCTCATCTCCTCCAATATTTAACACCAAAAATAAAAGTCTGCGCTGAAAATTTTTCACCAAGCAATTCAAACTAATTAGAAAGAAAGAAAGAAAGATCAAATGGATGAAATTAAGCTATATCTATCAATCCATCCATCCATCTATCTATCCATTTGTACCAAATGTAATATTTTTAGGAATCAATTACAGGCAACAAAACATGTTTTCCCATCAATGTTTATCTCATTTAACCCTGCATCCATCCATCCATTACTTTACATTATCTTTCATTATAGAGGAATCAATATCCATATTTGGAAACAACAGCAGCGTCATTCAAGAACTGAAGCACTGTGAACTTAATGAGTGCAAACACACAACATAGCGACTGTCCTCATGTGAATCCAAACCACACACTCCTTTATATGAAACACAAACTTTCAACACTAAACCTCTGTTCTGTCTCTTGTGTGTGCGTGTACCTGTATGACCAGCGGCTGTAAGCGGGCTGAGAAGAGCTCTTCACCGTCTCCATGTCGTGTGTGTGTGTATGTGTGTCTGGGTTTGTGGCATCTCTACCTGTGCAGGTCATGAGGGAACACACACATGACAGCCGCAGGTGAGCCCTCAGGGCTGCTGCTGTTACTATGGCAACAACATCCCACAGACGCCCTTTGAAAAGCATGACGCTGCCGAGCGTTTGGTGTCACTCTGAAGTGTGAACTCTTCTCCAAGTGAAACCCGCCAGCCGAAAACTACACACACGACTGCAGAGCACAACTGCAGAAATGCATGTTTGACATCTGCAATATAGCATAATGTACAACTCTAATGTGGTTTTATTGTTTTCCTCAATAATTTTTTTAAACAGTCCTGACCTTCTCTAAACTGTAAGCGCAACTGTCACAATGGGACATCACATCTCCATTGCATGTATGCATAGTAACTAAAACATCTACAGTTTTTCTCGCTTTGGCTCAAATGAGAATTTTGTTTCTCAAAACAATACGCTCAGATTTCGGAACAATTTGTTTCTTTTTCCAGCTAGCTTTATATTTCTAATGCATTTTTGTGTTTTGGCACAAAAGTACATTTGTCACTTAAAAAACACTTAATGTTTAGTGAAATTATTTGGTAGTCTAAGGTGGGATGGGGATTCGGGAAGGGGGGGCAGATTTTTTTATAGGTTTAAAGGGGGGCGCGACCAAAAAAGTTTGAGAACCACTGGTCTAAATTTAACAGACAGTGTTTAGTGCAGTCCACATGTTTACATATGTTTATTACAGTGACTTTGAATGACCTGAAGTAGTGTGGTAAAGCAACAGATTTGTTTTTATATTTCTGCAATATACTTTAGTTTGTGTGATTTGTTACTGACTTTCATATTAATGTTTACACCAGGCTTATTTATCAGTGCTTTATGTATGTTGTCATAATTATTACATGCTTACAAGGTTGGAAGTTCAACAAATCAGTCAATATACTGTGATTGTAGTTGTTAAATAAAAAAGTAATTCATATAAATTCATGCATCACCTAATTTCATCGTAACATATAGGCCTGGCCTACAGAAAAGAACATTTATGTTTAATCTATCTAATAGTGTGTTGGTCATACTATACAATGATTTATACCTTGTCTTTGTTGAATAATACAGAACATAAAGTGCTTTAAAAAATAATTGCATATTAAATCGCAATATTCGTAAAAGAAAATTGCAATTAGATTATTTTCCAAAATCGTTCAGCCCTAAATAGAGTTGTGATGTCCCATAACACAGTTGACAATTGAACTTAAAGTTTGTTGTTTAAACAGTTTCAAAAAATAAGCCCAATCATTTGAGGAAAAACTGGAATTCATACCTCAGAATTGTGCAAATTGTAGAAAGATACTTACTTAAGAAATGTACTTGCCCTTTTGCACAAATGGGCCAAAATGTGCAATTTGCTTTAATTAATAAGAAATTCAAATCTGGTTTGAACAAGAAACTAATTGTTCAGAGATGTGAACACTGTTTTGAGAAAAACATTGAGGTGAATAGAAAAACTATTCAACTATTAATCAATCATTTTGCACCCTCTCTCTGAAATATTACTTTAAAAAGTTTTGCAGTGATCTCAAATGCCCACTTTTATGCATTAAATTCTACATATTTGTTATAAATTGTCATAAAACTATCAGACAAAATCTTTTTAGGAATAATAGTCACCATTTTACTTCCTCCTTTTTAATCTTGTTGTGTCCGGATGGAAGTGTCTGATTATCATGTGGACATCATTGACATGTAAATGTCCCCGTGTCAGAGTAAATAAGATGTATCTGCTGTTTAATTTCAATCAATGTTTTTTTTTTTTGGACTGAGGAGGAAGTTTTGAGGAAGTTCTTAAACTCTTATCTTAAAAAGAAGAAAATGTGTTACTTTAATGCTGTGAACAAGTAGTGAGAATATGCTCTAAAACCCAGACTGCTGTGTAAGTCGCTTTGGCAAGCAAATGTCTGTTATGTAAATTATTATGAATGTAAAGGCAAACCACAATCGTCTCATCTGCAGCGTGTCATTTCCTCTCACGGCTCTGATAATGATGCCAATCTCAGGCTGTGCTGTACTTCCACGTTCATCTAATGGCTACCGAACAGACCGTAAGTGTGCCATAATGACTCTCAGACTTATTCATCAGGTCTGCCAGTGGATAGACCATTTTCTGGCTTTGTGAATGAACTCCTTGAAAATGCACGCTGCGATATGTGAATCCAGGCCAGCTGCACTCATCAAAAGAGATCTAGGAGACACACATGTGCAAATAGACAAATAAACAGGCCAACATGCATGCAAACACACACACAGCAAGTCTAATGTATTCTGCGTCTCAGTGCTGTTGGTTATAACAGACCACAACAGTCGGGGTTCAGATGTAAAAACCATTTATTTTACCAATTTTCCCCAAAATTAAAGCTTTCAAGACAGATCCAACATGAGCTTTGAGAAATGTGAAAATATACAGTGAATGGGTGCCGTCAGAATGAGAGCTGATAAAAACATCACAATAATCCACAAGTAATCCACACCACTCCAGTCCATCAGTTAATGTTTTGTGAAGCCAAAAGAAACAAATCCATTATTAAGACATTTTTAACTTTAAACTGTCGCTTCTGGCCAAAATATGAATCCATAATTCATAATAACGCTTCCTCCAGTGTTCAAAAAGTCAATTTCCTGTTGTCCTCTCATATCAAAACCCAGTCACATATTTGTTCAGAGCTGTTTTGGCTTGTAAACGGTGCTTGATCTGTGCAGATTTCTCTCCTGATTCAGACCAGCAACTTTTTCACTGGAGAAAGCGTTATTATGGATTATGGACTCAAATTTTAGCCAGAAACAACAAGTTTGAAATTAAATCACGGATTTGTTTCTTACAAACACACAGCTTTTGCCTTCTCAAGATGTTAACTGATGGACTGGAGTGCTTGTGGATTATTGTGATGTATGAATCCATAATTCATAATAACGCTTCCTCCAGTGTTCAAAAAGTCAATTTCCTGTTGTCCTCTCATATCAAAACCCAGTCACATATTTGTTTAGAGCTGTGTTGGCTTGTAAACGGTGCTTGATCTGTGCAGATTTCTCTCCTGATTCAGACCAGCAACTTTTTCACTGGAGAAAGCGTTATTATGGATTATGGACTCAAATTTTAGCCAGAAACAACAAGTTTGAAATTAAATCACGGATTTGTTTCTTACAAACACACAGCTTTTGCCTTCTCAAGATGTTAACTGATGGACTGGAGTGCTTGTGGATTATTGTGATGTTTTTATCAGCTGTTTGGACTCTCATTCTGACGGCACCCATTCACTGCAGAGCATCCATTGCTGAGCAAGTGATGCAATGCTGAATTTCTCTAAATCTGATGAAGAAACAAACTCATCCTAATCTTGGATGGCCTGAGAGTGAGACATTTTTAGCAAATTTCCATTTTTGGACGAACTATTCCTTTAATCTTGATCAATCTTCAATCCTAATCTTGAATCTTAATCAAATCCACCAATTACAGAAGTCATAGTAACCATAGAAACAGGAATCACAGCAGAAAAACGTTGTGCAATGATCGCCCACTCCAATGAAGCAATGCAAATGATGTAATGGTTTCAGTCTCCTTACACTCTCAAACAACTTATATCTTTGAATGCTTTTCATTTTTGTGCTTACAATCTATAAGTTATAGTTTCATATTGTACTGTCATTTCTGATTACATATTAAGCAGATGAGCAGTTCATTACCTCTAAAAATATATATATATTTAACCTTTATCTTTAAAATAGATTTTGCTTTGAATCAATGTTGTGGCTTATCTCAAAGCTGGCTGCTTTGAGAGAATGTAAACATTTAAAAAGCCACTGTTGCACTCTATTTGCTCAGAAACTCAAAGGACACAAGAAAACTGCAAACAAGAGGACCAGATCAGATAAAACAACCTCATCAGATCACAACACAAGAAACAATCCAGAATCCAGATGAAATTAGGAGTCAAACGCAAGGCAGAAGCCAAAATAGAAGCTGGTTCATCATTATCAGAGATGTGACTTTAAGAAAACTGTGTCAACTCTTCTCAGAAGAAGGCTGAAAGTTAAACAAATGCTGCAGATAAATCCAAACCGAATTCCAGCTCAGGCACCGTGGGAGGGAAGGAGTGCGGTTCTGATAGGAAGAAGCCCAGGTCGTGTCTGGAGGACAAAACTTACACAAAGAAACTGAGAGCAGATGTTGAAAATGATCTTAGTCCTGCAACACACTCGGCTCAGGACAGAGTCAAGGACGGCCAGAGATTCCAGCTGCATCGCATCCTCACAGCTGTCATCAACAACACTCTGCTAAACGATTATAACGAGAGACTGTCTAATTAATCACTCCATATGAGCAGCATCAACAGCAGAAGAGTAAAGGACTACACTGAAGAACAAAAACTGGTGTACGACTGACTTTGAAACAACTTTCACTTAAAAATTGCTAGTAAATTTCACAATCTAGAAAATGTAAAAAGAAAAGTATTTTTGGCAGTGCAGAGAATTTGTCTAATAGAACAAAACTAGGCACTCTTAGAAAAAATAAATCATCATCTTCAAAATAATAAGTATATATTCAATAAAAAGTATAAATATATAATCAATATAATAACAATTTTAAAAATGCAATAAAAAATAACAATGTTATAAAATTGAATAAAATAAATAGATTTGATTAAATTATCAGTTCATGCTAACATATTTCATTTTTTATACTATTGACAGAACATTTTTCTACATTCATAAACATGTGAATTGGTCATTTCACCTATATAATCAAAAGAAAATAAAGTGAGTAGTTTGCGTTTATGTTATAAGTGAAAATATTTAAAGGGGTCATCGGATGTCCATTTTCCACAAGTTGATATGATTCTTTAGGGTCTTGATGAAAATTCTGTAACATAGTTTGGTTAAACTTTCTCAATGGTAGTGTAAAACAACACCGTTTGTACCCCGTCAAAAACAGCTCTGTTTACAGCACGCTGTTTTATTGCATTCCGCTTTAAATGCAAATGAGCTCTGCTCGCCCCGCCCCTCTCTTCTGAGCCGCTCTGAGAGACGGTAAACTTTAGCCGCATTCATCGTGAAACTTGCTAATTAGCACATTATTAGGAAAGGCGATTTGTAAAGATTCATTATAAAACCTTATACTCACTTCTTCTGTAGATGAGGCTGGATCACGAATGATTCGCGCGAACATAGACGCATTTATGTAGATCGGGATCGGTGCATTTCCTTCAGAAACAAACGAAATCCACTGCGAGTTCAGCGGCTCAGACGTCGGGAGTAAATGACGACTGCTATGTTCATTATTACATCCAACAACAGAACACCTCAATCGCTTGTTAGGAGTCATTCTTGTCTACATCTGCTCCGGCGGTGAAACAATGGCGGACTGATGACAGTCACTCAGGGGCGGAGCTAAGGTAAGACGCCAGTCCAGTCTGTGCTGAAACGCTACTGTCAATCAAACTATCGTGGGAGGGGCCTGTCTTTGTGATGTCACACAGACAGGCATCTGAGATCGGCTCGATTTGAGAAAGGGGTAAAGATTTAACCAGATAAAAAAAAAACACAGAGTGGATTTGTATCATTATAGGGTGGTTGTGTACACACACTGCCAACACACATTTCAGTTCAAACAGCTTGTAAAAGTGCGTGTCGCATCCGATGACCCGTTTAAGTTAACACCTTTAATAAAAATGTAATATATTAATACTTTGCTAACATCAATATCACGTTGTTTACTTATGGTTGTCCAAACCTAATCCTAAAATGAATGCGAATTCCTGAGGATAAAACTAATAGATAAGCAGTACAGTCTGTCACTTTGTGATATTATTTGTATAACATTTAAGCAATTTTCCCCCTCGAATTGTAACGATTCTAAAATATGATGTAAAACTTGGACACACTGCATATTATTATTATTATTTTTAAATCTGCTAAAATGTAAAGGAATTGCAACAAATACCTGATCAGTGCATAAATACTCCCCTAAATTATTTTGGCATTGCAACAATAAGAAAGCGGGCTTAACTGTTATGAAAACAAGGTTTTGAAGAAACTCAGTGTAAACTGAAAATATATGTAAAAGTCCAGTTTTCTGCGGCTATGTTATGACGTCATATCCAGACGGTAATTACGTACAAATTACGTCACATGACCACGTGACGGCAATTCGATGACATGAATATCCTGCATTAGTAACAATTACGCATTCTCTCATTTGAGTGACTGTTGATGAATTACAGCCTGTTGCACTGCTTGATCAAAGATTTTCCCATTCATAAAGATCAATTCAGCCCCGAGGCGTTTGCTGTGATTTACAGATGCTTTGCTGATCATCATATTTATTAATTTAGCACTATAATGTCGATCATACAGCGATATTTCCATGTTTCCCCCCGCTATCATCCTCCAGCTAGCCGCTGCTCCACCGTTACACGCTGACTGCGTTCTTTCACACCCTCCTGCTTCATTTTCACCTCGTTTCTGTTCGTAATTCAGCTGTTTGATAGTGATTTGTGTGTTTCTGCAGAGTCTGCGTGCGTTGTTTTGTGTTTTTAGCTTGGGCTGTTGTCACAGCACGCGCGGAGCGCAACAGGACCCACCGAAAAGACACAGCAAAGTTACGAAAGACACGAATGTAACACACAAGCACAAGCACAAGCACCCAGTGCTCCCCAAACGGACGTCGCTTTTGGATCATTTCTAAGAATCGTGTTTCCATCGGTGTCTTACCTGCTGTAGTAACTCATGTTTATCCGCCGTTGCTATGGATTCCTCCGATGCTGCCGCGTCGCGTGCGTCCCCGTGCGCAAAACCCGCAGCAGGCGCATGCGCACACGGTTACGCGTCAAATGACGTTTCTTCCTCAAGGGGGCGCGTGATGCTCAGAAAATCCATTCCTCCACATACGCTAAAAAAATATATACTTTCAAAATCGATTGGTATTTCATTTCATACAAATGGAAATCCCCCTCTGAAATCTCTATAAAATCGTCTAAAATAATCCCCTCATCATAAACGACTGTGATTGGTCCATCTTGGAAATGCGCAGTGAAAAGTAACACACATCATGTTCATTCTCTCTGAACAAGATTACACTGGAGTAATGACACTAACAGAATATCCACTGAAGATGTCAAATAAATCGTTAAAGTGGGAGAATTGTTTTTATACCCATTTTATGATCATTAAAGTTCATTTTCTTTCCAGCTCACGCTGTATGATTGGTCAAGTGTTGCCAAGTCAAATAAAATCCCCGATTTAGTGTCGTTCTGTCTGTCCCACACACACAGTTATAAAGCAAGCTAGATATGACAGATGTCACACGTACCTTCAATGAACAATAAAAAAAAATAAAAATAAAAATTTTAATTAATAAAAAAAAAAAAAAAAATTTTATGAAATATAAAATAAAATTCGGCCTGTTCCTCAATCACTGTGGGAGGTATGCGCCCTCTTCTGGTGATTTACTTTAAATACAACCACTTTGGCTGGTCACTGGTCTTCCAGCTAACTTATCAAACGTTCTCAACAAAATTGAGAAAATATCAATACTCCTTGAGACTAAATTGGCCCACTTTCTAGTATATAAAAGTATACTTTAAGTATAACAGTAGTAAGCTTTGAGTACACAACTAGTTTACATCAATATTTTTAGCTTGTAGTGCAACTATACTAAAAGTGAACGTATAGGTATACTCTTTTTCGCAAGGGTAGGCTACTTGTTTCAGAACGTTCAGAGAACATTTAAAAATTTCATTCCCATGTGTTGCTAAACTATCAAATGGAATGTTCCCTTAACAAACATTCAGATAGGCCTATAACCAAGAACAAAATAAAAATGTAAAGAACATTTAGAAATAACATTTTCGTAACTTAAAACAAATTTTTGGGCTGGTACTGGTCTCCAGCAAAGCCTTGGTAGAGCTGGTTGTCAAAGGAAGTTTTACTGATTATGTTAAACTAAGTATGTACACTTTTACAAATGAATGACATATTATGTTCAAGTGTGAACGAGGTGAAACATACTTTTTGGATCCGCTGTTTGTGCCAATGTAAAGAACAGACAGCACTGGGATATTTAAAATGAATTTTGATCCTAAAATCCATCTACTAGATGGCAGTATAGAGTGATTTTTCCTGTTCATCTCAGCTGTCATTAACCTACACTTGCTCTCATCTGTTATAAGGTTTGTAACAAAGTTCTAACAGTGATGCTTTTGAATCTTAAACATAGTGTATTCAGGGGAAAGAGTGAATGTGAGAATCTGACAGAAAACAGGCTGTCATTTCATATTTTGGTCATCTCACCACTCAACAACTGTTGAAACTGCCTTTACTGTACACTACTTCGAAGTACTTTGATTAGCAGTCCAGAAAACAGCTCTTCAATACAGATATATTTTCTGAGCAGCACCTGTGTACACATATTGCTTGCAAAATAGCCCAAAATAGTGGCACACCATGGGGTCTATGGCGTAGGTGTTTTCTGAACCCTTCATTCTCCATCAACCACAAGAACATGAGAGAAGACATGAAGGTGGACGAGGTTACGCTGAGAAAAACACAGCTGCTCATCCATCTGACCGCTTCGTGGACATACATGAGATTATTTATACAGATCATCTGAATGAAACGGCCGAAAAAACAAACAAACAAACACAATCTGACTGTGAACATTGCACATTTTTTAGATGCATAAACATAATTAGTACAAAAATAGTTTTGACGGAGCAACTCTGAAAGAAAGCAACAAATAGACTAAGTGTTTTATGGCTAGACATTTAGGAGACGTGTTTTGCTCTGAACACACTGAAAAGATTATATGATTAATAAGTCATACTGTATGTTTTTTCCATTGCTCTTAACTATTCAAAATAATTTAACCCATTTCAACTTCATTGGTTACATTATGACAATCAACTTAATTTTTTCATATCAGACTAATATGATTTAAGTTAAAGTGACTTGTACAGCCAATTGGATTATATTTAAAGGGATAGTTCACCCAAAAATAACAATTCTGTCCTCATTTACTCATCCTCAAGTTGTTCCAAACCTGTGAGAGATTTTTTTCTTCTGTTGAGCACAAAAGAAGATATTTTGAAGAATGTCGGTAACCAAACAGTTGACAGTAGCCATTGACTTTAGCATGGGGAAAAATACAATGGAAGTCAATGGCTACCATCAACATTTTGTTTACAAAACATTCTTCAAAATGTTCTTTAAAAGCTTAAGGCACTAACTGAACTTTAAACTACAGGAGGTGGTTTTATCAAATGCAGAAACACAATATCTGGCCATGCAAAAGGCCTTTTTTTATTGTGCATCTTATTAGCTGCATATTTCAATAGGAAATGCATTTTTAAAAAAATGAAGAAAGAATTGTGCTCATCAAACTACTGCATGAGTTCTTTAATCGAGATGCTGCACGTCTGATCTGTGGGTTTGCCTCGGGCTCTGATTCTCGCCGCTGTTGATTCAGGGCACCGTGGATTGATACGCTGGAAATAAAGCAGTGAATTTCTCGGTCTGAGTGCCAGAAAGTTGTTTTTGAAACCACTGTGGGTGGACGGCATGCATGAAGTCTCCGCTGCTCTGTGGAAAAATACAGGGAACACAAACAACAGCAAAATGAGTGTTGTTTGTGCATCAGGAGCCGCTTGGAAAATGACCTGATCTGGTGTCTCTCAAAACTGACCCAATACGTGCTGTTCTTGGTGCGATTGATTCAACAGTTATTCTAAATGACGTGTTTGTCTTCATAATCTTTCATCAAAAAGAAATACGTTTTTTCACCTTCAGCCATTACTTAAATATTCATTCATGCATTTTGCAGATTCTTCTAGCCAAAGCAAATTATATTACATTTAATGTATTCCCTGGGAATCGAACCCAAGGCCTCAGTGTTGCTAGCACCATCACAGGTAACAGATATAGGTTATAAAAACGTTGTGAGAACATTGTTTTGAAATGTTTCTAAAAAATGAAAATGTCCAGTTTTCTTGTTGTGATTAGAACATTATCTAAAGTTTAGAAACTCTACTAACTTTATTTCACCCAAAATATAACGGTATTTAAACAGTTATTTTTAATATTCTCACATTTTAAAATATCAAGTTTTCTTGCAGCGGTTATAATGTAAGGTTACAAAAACGTTTCTTAGTATGTTCATCGAGTACAAATAACATCGTATGGATGTTTTGAGAATGTTTTCTCTCAGCATTATGAGAACATACAGTATATCAGATATTGATAAAGTTATAAGAATGTTCCATAAGCATTACTTTAAGAATGCTTTGTTTTATAACTTTAAAAAAACTTTGCCCTCCTTTTTAAGCCATGCATAGTCAGTTCAAGACCAGTCAATTGTATTTGTGCTTTTCACAATCATGATTTGAATGTTTATATTATTATCCGCATGCCTTATAGTTGCATTTAGCAGATCAGAGCTGAGCGACAATATAGTTTACATTTTGAAATGAACAGTCACATAGTTACATACTGCGACCAGAAGCCACATTGAGGAAGTTTCTAATGAGAGCTTCTCAGTGTATTTAAAATGCATTTGTTGAGTAAAGGACAATGCTTCTGTTAAATGGCATGCTCTTTGATATTTTGCATCAATGACATTCAGATATTTTTAAGTGCCACTTAAGTGACTGTTGTTTGGGGATCACTGAATGTTCAGTTCCAGCTCTACATTGTGTTCTCATTTGTGCCCATCCCACTATCAGGTGGGCTCTGTTTTGGATGTGATGCTTGATTGAATCAGTGTGTGTGTGTGTGTGTGTGTGTGTGTGTGTGTTTGCGGGACAGTATGGAATGTGAACAGCAACATTCCCGCTGTGCAGGGCCTGATGGGACGGCTGTTTTTACTGTCCGGTGTAATTATTACTGGACATTCAGTCATCCGAACATCCAGCAGCAAAACCTGATTATACCAGATCTCTCGTTCAAACCATTCACTGAAATCAACCCAGCCAACAAATTTAGCTTATTAAAACGTTGTGGGAACAATGTTTCTAAAATGTTCAAATGTCCAGTTTTCTTGTTGTGATCAGAATATTATTAAAAGGTTACAAAAACGTTTCTTATTTTAAACGTTATTTGAATGTTAATTTTTAAAATTCTAAGAATGTAAAAATGTTGATGTGTTTGTAATGATATATTTAACGATTACAAACATGTTCATCAAATCACCCAGCTAACAAAATGTGTTCTAAGACCGTTTTGCGAACATTTCCATTAGGTTATGAAAATGTTATTTCTGAATGTCCTGTGGACGTTCAAAACATTCTTGTTTTTAATGTTTTAAAATGTTTTTTTCTTGGTTATGCAAATGTTAAGGAAACATTCCATTTGATCATTTTACAAATGTAATGCAAACGTTACTTTTGAACGTTCTCTGAACAATCCGAAACAAGTAGTAACATTTAAAAAAACGTTATGAACATCCAACTAAAACGTTTCAGGAAAAACGTTCCATGCCTGATGTATAAATAGTGTTTTTGTGCTAACATTTTGAGAATATTATTAAAATACTTTGCACAAACGTTCTATTGACATTACTGGAAGATCATTGAATCCTAAAAAAAAGTGATACTTTGAAATATTTTTCACTCAGAAATGGCTGGTTAATTTCCCAATTACAAAGAAATGGCAAGTAACACATGAATTTTTGAAGCAGACAGTACTTTCTTGTTTGCAGCTCTTTTGTAGAGTCCATGACCACTGCTGAGTTCTGGACTTGTGGACTTCTGCTTCATCTGTGCTCTTGAAGACTCTAACGAGCTTCACATGCCAGCGTGAGAGTGGCCTT